TTCAAGCAAGCATCGGCCCCTTTTCATGTAGCTTTCATATATCGGTGCACCTAGGCATCATCATCTTCATTTTGCAGAGATGGGAACTGAAACGTGAGACTTGTCCATGACACTTAAGTGGCAGAGCTGGGCTTAAAAGTTGGAATTTAACTATGCTGAGTTCTGCCTCACTCAGTTGGCCACAGTACTGAGGAATTTCACAGTGGTTATTATATGGCGTGACTTTATGATAACTAATGAGACAATGGCTATCAGTGAAAACAAAATTCCAAGGTATTAAAGCTTTACACCAAAGCAAATGGTCTTTATTCAGTAAAGCCTGCATTAAATAAAATCCTCATATCTCTTAAACAAACAAACAAACAAACAAAAAGTCTTCCAAAGAAGTCGTGTTGCTTTCTCTCCATGACATAGAATTATGAAAAATATTGTTCTTTAAAGGAGAGAGTTGGAGTTTAAGAAAAGCAACACAGTTCTACCAATGACCAGAAAAATTATAGTATGTGTAGGTAGGTCACCAAGCAAACTTGCCACTCACTCTTCTCCAAGGACTTCCAGAAATTCACATCATTACAGTGTGTCCACAGCCTGGATAAAGAAGTTCGGAAGACAGAATTGATGTGGAGTGAAGCTTCTCATTTTTAGTACTCTGATTTGTTTTCCTTATTGCTTTTATTATCTTAAAATGTGAGACTGTCATCATCTTAAGCAACTACTTTATTCCTCTGATTTGTAAAATCATCATATTTAATTCATTGGAGACAGTGAGACAGCCTCTTGTGGCAGAAAGAGAAGAGAAAAGAGCAAGTTTGGGGATGCCTGTTATTTCTCTACCTCCCTGGGCCATGTCAGTATCTGACAACTCCTCCAAACTTAACTCTTCTAAGAAGCCTACCTAACCCCCACCACACATGTAGTAGGAAATGTAAACTAAAAGGAAGCACCTAAAAGCTAATGTCCATGGGGCTTTGTAGAATAGAAGACTAAGTAAATCCCACACATATTTTCAAGGCCACTGCTAGTCAAAGCTGTAGGGTAAAGACAATTTGCACCTAAGACTTACCATCTTCCATTTAGACATCGTCTCCCTTTGGGGTGCCTAGTACCTGTGTGGCATGCTGTGGCTGGCCCGGGCACCTTAATTCAGTAATCCATATAAAGTGTCCTACAGACAACAAGCCATGCTCCGGAAATATTTGTTGCTACCCCTTATCAGAAATCACTTATACTGGATCTTATTTGCTCAGGTTTAATTGCCTGTCTTCCCCAACTAGAATGAAAGTTCTACAAGGATCTTTGCTTTCTTCACTGGGGGATCCCAAACACCTAGAATAGGGTCTGGCACATGGAACAAAAGAACAAACCTACCTATGTCATTATGTCAGTTGCTACTAATGGCATAAGTCAGAGCTTGCAGAACCAGATATGGCCAACAGGAATAGTCCCTTTGTCCTACAGAGTATTTGAAAAAAAATTTTTTTTTACGTCGGGACCATTCATTTAAAAATCTTAGCGTCTCTGAAAAAGGTGGAAGATCTGGTAACAATGGCAAGTGCCTTCCCTCCCTTACATGGGGCATGGCCTTCCCATTTTCCTACCACGGCCTGTTGGCTTCCCTACACTGAGACTGTCAGTTCCAGTATTGAGAAGCAAGGGATAGAATTTTAGAATATTAGGATTCTTCTACTTGGCCTACAGTTGCCTAATTTGCTGCTGATACTAGAATTTGAGTTTGTGACTCCAGTCTTTAAACATTTTCCTTCCAGGTAATGTGTTTTTGTTTTGCTTAGAGCACTTTGAAGACTGAAAATGTATGACATGGTCAGAAATGTCACACGTTTTGATGGGAGAAATATTTTAGGCTGGTAGAGCTTCCACATCACACCATGGAAGTGGCTGCCTTTTCTATCTGTACATAGGCCCTCTGCTTAGGAAAAATTAAGATCTCTAGGTTCTTCTCATTTTCCTGAAGGCTCTTTCCTCCCAAACCCTCAGAAGTTCTACAGTATGCATTGGGCCTCTTAGTAACACCTCTTTTTACATTTTGGATGCTTTTTTTTTTTTTCCAAATACCCATATTTAGAGGGCCATTCCAAAATCTTACTGAATGCTTAATTCCTTGTGGAAAGGGTATTTCTCGTCAGTGAATTTATATGCAATGACCGCTTGACTATAGTTCTACTTACCGCCTGAAGTAGCCGGTTAGAAACTACCTGGTGAGGGAGAACAGCAAAGGTGCTCCAGGAAGATCAATCAGGCCTCAAAGGAATTTTTCCTTGTGTTTGACCATGCACATAAAGAATCACTGGCTAAGAACAAACTACTTCTTTGTTTCACATTTTGGAGGACTTGGTAGTAGGAGAGACATAGGACACTTCTCTGTGTCTGACTGGCTAAGAATGAAACTAATTCACAGAGACTCCTACGAGGAGGATGGGGGAAATCATACTGCAAAAGATGACCATAACTATGATTTTACCTAAAATGGTGTCGTTATCAAAGCAGAATTATTTTTTTAAAGATTTTATTTATTTGACAGAGAGAGAGAGACAGTGAGAGAGGGAACACAAGCAGGGGGAGTGGGAGAGGGAGAAGCAGGCTTCCCACGGAGCAGAGAGCCCGATGCGGGGCTTGATCCCAGGACCCTGGGACCATGACCCGAGCCGAAGGCAGATGCTTGATGATTGAGCCACCCAGGCACCGAAAGCAGAATTATTTTAACATAAAAAAAAATCATTTTTGTTAATTGACAATTATTGGACTTTGAGGTAGTAGTATATAACTTTAGCCTGACATTCTTATTGAGTCAATGTTTGTATTCTAAATATCAAGTTTTGGGACGCCTGAGTGGCTCAGTCGGTTAAGCGTCTGCCTTGGGCTCAGGTCATGATCCCAGGGTCCTGGGATCGAGTCCCACATTGGGATCCTTGCTCAGTGGGGAGTCTGCTTCTCCCTCTGCCTTCCCTCCCCCTGCTTGTGTTCTTTCTCTCTCTCTCTGATAAGTAAGTAAGTAAATAAGTAAGTAAATAAATAAAATATCATTTTCTTTTTAGGAAACCTAGTATCTTTCTTTTTAAGCAACATTTGTCCAGCATATGCATTTTTCAACCAAAATAAGTTGTTTAATATATAGGCACTCTTCCTGTGTTTAAGGCTCAGCAGAAAACAAGCCAGCTGAAGTTGCTTCTCTCCTTGAGCTTACCTTCAATTGTCATATAATAAACACATGAGAAAATGAATAGTCTGCCAGGTAGATAGAGGCTGGGCAGGAAAAAAGGTAATGTGTGGAGGCTGAGAGAATTGAGGGAGGGGACAGGGATATGTAGCAAGGGGTGATCTTTTATTAAGTGAAGTCAGAGAGGGTAATATCTGAGCTGAAACCTGAAAACAGTAAGGGAGCCAGTCATGCACAGACTGTGAGCAGGGTGCAGCAAGTGCAGAGACCCCACAATGCGCATGCTCAGTGTGCTCAAGCACCAGCAAGCTGGCAGAGAGACTGGAAAGAAATGGGAGCGAGGAAGTGATGTCACAGAGGAGCCAGTGAGCAGACCTGCAGGGCCTCATGGGACATTGTGAAGATATTAAAGGTTATATTAAAGATGATGATAGCCTTTGGAAGGTTTTGAGTTGGGGAGTAACTTGATAAAATTGACGTTTTAAAATCAATGATGAAATTGATGGTGAGGTACTAATGATACCTTTCATGTCATTTATTGATCATATATTGTGTGCCAAGCACTTGATATATATTATCTAATTTAATCTTGTATGATGTAGTATGACGGTAGTCACTGTGGCTATTCGTATAGGACAGGTGAGTCAATAACTATGCAGTTGGTCAAGAGTAAATTGACCACAGTCACACAGGTAGCACATGGCAGAGCTAAGCTTAGTAAAATAGTGGTATTTTAAAATCCTTTAATATCAGGTGCCTGGGTGGCTCAGTAGGTCAAGCATCTGCCTTCGGCTCAGGTCATGATCCCAGGGTCCTGGGATCGAGTCCCACATCGGGCTCCCTGGTCAACAGGGAGTCTGCTTCTCTGTCTCCCTCTGCCCCTCCCCCCTGCTCGTGCACTTTCTCTCTCTCTCAAATAAATAAATAAAATCTTTTTAAAAAAACCCTTTAATGTCTTTCATGAAGTATCACATCATAGGCCTTAGTAGATAAGACTGATTTTCTTTTCTTGTTCATTTTATATCACTGTAGCCTTAAATGGAAGGAACCTTAAGGCTTATGTAGATTATGACTTGCCTATTTTTCTAGACATTTTTAAAGTGAAGAAGTGTTATTATCATGCATAATAGTATCTTCTGATTAGAGAGAATGATATGTAAAAGCACCACCCAAAAATGAAACCTCCTAAATAAATAGTTCCTACAGAACACTGGTTCTTGATCTATAAATTCAGAGTTGTATCTCAGTATCATGGATTTCCTTAATAGTCTTAAGTATTTATTTTTCAAAGCATTTAAAAACAGTATTTTGAGAAAGGGACCATAGGCTTCCCCAGACTGCCAAAGGAGCCTCTGGGTGTAGAGATAGTGTGTGCAAGTGTTCCAGTGAATTTGTGTGAACCCGAGTAGAACTGCTGTACATGGTTCTGGGTTTCTGATGTTTGGGGAAGGGTGGGGAGAGTGCCAACCAAGTATGTGCCAAAGCTCACAAAGAGGCCAGCCGTAGCTGGGGTGACCACATGTACCAATCTGTCCAGGATTGCTCCAATTATGTAATTATTAGTTATCACCTTCTTTCACTCTCAAGAGTGTCCCAGTGAGAGCAGTAAATTATATGGCCACCATTAGCTCTAGCTATTCTCAAGAAAGCAAGGGTGGGAGATGTAGCCAGTTGAGACCTATCTCCAGGACATGTGGTAGGGGCTGCCAACCCCTGCATTCGGAATTATTTTGATAACCCATGGGTGTAATCAAAGTTAGAAGATTACCCAAAAGATATGATGGAAGAAAACACTGTTTTAATAATAATTATTTCTCGTTCACAGCCAAAAATGAGCATAAAATGGAAGAAAGTTACTTGGAGAATGCACAGAAAAGGTAAGTGGCTCTGACTTGGCCTTAGTCCTCTCTTTGGCTAGCTGTTCATTTTTATGAGTGTTATTATTAAGGGCAGTCATTTTGCTCTGCAACCATCACCACCATCTGTCTTCAGAACGAACTCATCTCCAAATGGAACTCTATACCCATTAAACCATAACTCCCCCGTTCTCCTCCCTTACCCCGGCTCCTGGCAACCATTATTCTACTTCCTGTCTCTGTGACTTTGACTACTCTAGATACCTCATATAAGTGGAATCAATACAGCATTTTTCATTTTATGACTGGCTTATTTTACTTAGCATGATGTCTGACTAGCCATTCTTTTGGTCCCATTTGTTGAGACTATACATCCGTGAGCAGTAAGATTCTGTTGGGAGGTGAAGGGAAACACTATGATATGACTTGGAAACATTTCTCCTCAAAGAGCACAGAACCATTCAGAAGTGATTCACAAGCATCACGTCATGACACTCTCTGCCTCTCCTCCATTTCTCTGCTCCTGAGCCACTTTATGGAAGTTAGGAACAATGTGATCCTTCTTAGCATTACAACTAGATTAAACCAATTATGGCAAATATCTAAGAGACTTATTATGTCTTTCCTCAGATCTGAGAGGATACAGTAAACAAGGGGCAAGTGGGGAGGAGGGACTGACCCCTATATATAAAAAGTGCCTCTGAAATTGGAAGAGACCTTGGAAGTCTTCTGTTCTATCCGTCACCCACGTCAGGCCTCTTCTTTGGTCTTCTCTCTCTTAATAGACAGAAGAACGGAACCATCCAGTTCACCCAGTAATCAGTGGCTCTGGATAGAGGATTTTATTTTTGTCAGCTGACCAGGTTAGTCAGCTTGGCTAGGCCTCTGCTCTTAAAAGGGTGAGTGAGAATATACTGAGTCATTCTCATTTTCAGCCCAGAGAACTGAGATACATTTTGCTGGTGCTAATTCTAGAAGGACTAGAAAGTTAAATGAGAGGTAGGGGTAGGAAGTAGCCTGTAAGGATAACGAGCTTTACAAATGTGTGAGGAGAGGAATTCATTAAATGCAACTGAACAAACTCTAGAAACAAACCATTTCCTCCTGTCTAGCCACAATTTCCAAGAGTTCTTAAAGCCTACAGACAGTGCTGTCAGCTCTGCTTCGGCGGGTGCCAACATCTTGCCCTGCTTCCAACTGCCAATCAAATTAAAATGCAGATGAAAGTGAAGTTGAGGCAAATCCTGCATTTTTCTAATTGCAGGCATGTTCTTGAGTCAGGATTATCAAGTAAGCATGATCATCTTTAAAAACCAAAGCAATCCCATGATGATGTTTTTAAAGATTTTTGTGCCCCTTGATTGGGCTTATCCCTATATTTAGTTTTTCCCTTCCTCCGTGTATAAAACGAATATGTCTATGTTACGTTCTGAAGAGACATCCACCCCTTGGTGTGAGGTCAAACAGAAATTTGGGTTTCCAGGGTGGATGTCAAATTTCTAATATTTCTTCAAGATTCTTGCTGAAGGAAAAGGGGGCCCACCTTCGAGGGGCCGAAGCTGCTGCTGTGCATTAGCTATGCTGAGGGGGGTCATAAATTTTGGTTGTCAGCGTTTTCCGTGACTTTGTGGTGAAGGTAGTGTAGCTTTCATGTCATACATGAAATATGTTAGATCCCATCTTTAATGTAGAAACCACAGTTGTTTGCTTGCACTTTTTAAGGAGGTTCTTGGTCAGTGTTGCAATATTCGTGTGAGATTTAGTAAATTCTTCTGTTTTATTCTCAAGAGAAACAATTTACTCTGAGGCCACGACATGTTTGCTTTTCCTAAGCAGTTTCTAAAGGCATGCATGTGAAACAGTAAGGGGACGTGTCCTGCTTTGGCTCCTCGACACTAAAAAGTAAAACTGCTCACGTTGTTACCAACTCTTTGATAGTGTCATTGTTGTCTGTGCTTTAAAGGTATTTAGCCGAATTACAAAGATAGGAATAAGATAAGGAATTGGAGCAGAGAGAAAAAAAGGGAATAGAATGAAGGAAAGAAGTTTTACGAAACATAACATATGATTAGAAATCAGTCTTTTAAAAGTTGAAAGCTATTTGAGAGTTATCTGCTGACAAATAGAAATTTCAGAAAGCACGGCCCCTTTGTCCATTGGAGAATATTAGCCTGGCTATTAAATATCAGTAGTTTTCAGGAGGACAGTAGTCTAGACCTTATGAAGCAATCGTAGGCTCATATTCTAGCCCTTTAGCTTCTCCTTGAACGAAGGGATAACCCCTAAGTCAAATAAGGCACATCCTCAGAGCAACTTCCTCTTTGTCGAAGTTGCAGAGTGCCAAAGCCAGGCCATCCCCTTGGACTTTGTTTTTGCTCTGGTTCTTCTGAAGAGGTTCACTTGCTTTCTTAGTTTCTAAAACACACGGGGGGCGGGGGGGGGAGGGAATGCTGAAATTCAGTATTTCCTTTAGTCTCTGTCCCCTTCGAGGGTTCGCAAGCAAGGCCTCACAAACCCCCAGGGTGAGAGATGGTGAGGGTACATGGTTAGCTCCAGTGTAGATTGGGAAAAGTGAGGCCTCCAGGATGATGATATGCTTTTCTGAAGCTCTGTGATAAGCCACTGAACAACACTGGCATTCTGTGAACAGTCACTGGTATTTGCAGCATCTGGGTCTCAGGATCTAGACTCCAGATATTGCGAGGGCTGCTGGGGTGATCCGTGAGACACAGGGACTGGAGTTTCTGTCCTCTTCACTATATCCTGCTGGGAAATCATTTGCTCCTCTGAACACTAAGAGGGAAAGACTTTCTCTTCTCTATTAATGCACAAATAAGTATGTTTCTGTATCGAAGGTGACCATAAGGAAGAGAAAAACGATGATGATGTGCTCTGCTGGGGGGCGGTGCTCCTGGGGGGCAACTGTGTCTAAAGTGGAAACAGAAAAAAAAAATGCCTGTGTCGATGAGCACAAGCAGCAGAAGGGTGGAAAAATCATTTCAATGAGAACTGGGGGACCCGAGAGGTAGGCCCAACGCTGCCAATGAATAAAGTCATTCAGTCTTTCCAGGTCTCTGTTTTCTCATCTCTAAAATGAGAACCTTGAATGAATTGACCTATTACATCCCTTCCAGTTCGAAAGCCCCATGACTCTCTAAGAATTTCATGGCCTCTTCCCATCGGTCACAGAACCCTCTACTTGTGTATTTCCACACCACAGTCAATATAATTTTCATTTTGAATGAAATAAAAGTATATGCCATAGAGCGTACATTTGGTTTTATCGGTATTTTGACTGCCACAGAGTTAGGCGTTGCCTGACATTGCGACTTTCTTCCATTACTGGTTTTGTTCCAAATTATGTATGTTTGGAATTAGAAGAGAGTCCCTTAAGAAATGAGTGCAGTTATTGCCTTTCTCCACTTATGCACTTCCAATCTTTTAATAACTGGGAGCCAAAATTCCCTGGCCAGTAGTTTTAATTTGCATTAAAAACAGATTTATTATTTACAGAAGCACAAAGAATTTATGGGACTCAGAGCTGCAGCTCCAGCTTGGATCTCACCTAATCATAGCCATGGAATCAATTAACAGTTCATCTGTGAAATGTGATAAAATCTTATGAGATACATATTGCCCAATAACTGAGAACGAGATGAAAGTATTCTCCATAATAGTGACGGGGCTTCAGGGTTTTACAATTGCCATTGAATGGAGCTCCATTAGAAAATCAGGATTCAGGATGGCCACAAAAAAAAAAAAAAAAAAAAAACCGCTGTGTCTGAACAGATGATAGAGCACTGAGTAGTAAACGTGGCCAGCCATTCCTGCTTTGATTAGTTTCCAACACCCTAGAAAAAGGGACCATTTATTTAAGTGTTCTTGCTCATGGCAAATAAGCTTGTGAGGCTTTGGGTGGGTGAAGGTTGGGGGTGGGGGACTAAGTGCAGAGCTATAAATCGCTACAAAGCTAGAGCCTCCAAGAAGGGCTGCTTGGGAGGCCTGAGCAGTCTGGTGTGCAGTGAGCCTCCATGGGGTAGGTCAGGAGATTCGGAGCAATGCCTGAGAATCGACTTTGGAAAACCTGGATCCTTTCCTGATCAGATTAGAGATCATCTTTCCTGGATCAAAGATGGTTTTTCACCCAAACCTTGCCATGCCTTCGGTTATATCTCTTTTTATGCCTCGGTGGTTTGTATTCTTATAGCTTTATATCAAGCTTTAAAATGTAACCTTCTTAGAGATCATCTATTCTAAGTCTTATTTTACCCTTGAGAAAACGGAGAGTCTGATGCTGAGTGATTGACCCAAGATCACAAAGCCAGTGGATGGCAGAATAAGGATAGAATAGTCTCTGGATTTTCCATGAAGTGCTCAACAGATTAATTATTCCTGATGGGCTGTCTAACTGACCACTGCTAAGGCTGCAGAATCAATATGTCATCATTATATGTCCATGTACTCATTAAACGTAATATGAAGAGCTGGTAAATGAATGGATTTGAGATGAAGAGCAAACTCATAACTTTACTTGCATACCCCCTGGAATCAGACATGCTCACTTTTATACACATAAGATGTGACCAGGAGTATCAGATTGAATTTCTTGGAGAAGTGGTTTAAGTAAATAGGTTTTCTGAGGCTCCGGATAAGCCACAGTCACTATGAGGCTGGGCTTCTGTCTTAGAGAATGAATATATAGGAAATGCCCCCCCCCAGCAATCCCACCCTGAGGGTATAGACAGTTTCTCACCCCCCAGCTCACTCTGTTTTTTCCCCCTACCTGTTGCAGTTTTGAAACAACAGTAGGATATTTTGGGATGAAGCCAAAGTCCGGTGAAAAGGAAATCACACCCAACTATGTGTTTATGGTATGGTACGAATTCTGCAGTGACTTCAAGACCATTTGGAAGCGGGAGAGTAAAACTATATCTAAAGAAAGGTAAGGTTCTAATGGAGTCATATCAATACCCCTTTCAGGAGTAGGGGAAACTGCCTTGTCAAACCTCACCGAGGGAGCGCATTTTACACGCATCAGGATTTTCTTTCAGATCAAGTGGACATTGAGAAAAGATTATTGCCTGGGGGCTCACGGGGAAATCCACACAAGCAGATAGCTCACGTGGTCTGATAAGTTACACTTTCTTAACCCCTTCCAATTACTAGCTAGTAAATGAAAGGGGAGCTGTGCTAATTTGCAACAGATTGCTTCTCTGTGTATTTTCACGTTGGCCCAGGCTAAATGAGGCAGCCTTGCTGTCGCAGACAGTACAGACAAATAAAAGTGAATGCTTTTCCCATTAATATACTGAACTTGCATCAAAAGGAAATCTCTGAGACTCAGGCCACACTTAACACAGTGTTGAAGCCCCGCTCTGGATTTACAGCGCCACTTCTGACTCCTCGTATCCTGCTGAGGACATCAAACTGCTTGCCGCTCAGCCTCATTGCAGCCTCCTGATTTTATTAGCTGGGGGTAGAAGAAAAATCTCCACTCTGAATACAAGGGGAAAGAGAGAGAGAGAGAGGGAGTTCATTCTGCTTAGAAAGAGACTAACTTTGGCCCTGCTTATCAGGAAAAAAAAAAGCATTTCTGCTTGATCACTGTTTTGATCAGGTCACCACTGTTCTACAAAGGGTGTCATGCATTTAAACTTCAAAAAGGTCTTGCTGTACTACTGCTGCAGAACAGATGTATGAGAGTGTCATTCAAAGCGGAGTAGGAGACAAAAAAAAAAAAAAACTACGAATTAAGGGAAATGGCTTATCTATAGCATCCATATCTCACTAAACTTTGAGACCTCGAATTCCGTAATTCAGTATTTTTGTTCTTTACTTCGTGATCAGAGAAAAGGCATATACATGATATATCTACACGTGCACGCTCACACATACAATACACTAATATGTTTCACCTTAAAAAGCTATTTTTAAAGGGATGAAGGTTTAGAGATTTTTGACCTAGTATTCCTGAGTATCTAAATATTTTCCTCAGGGTTTTTTTTTTCTGAGGAAGCCAAAGACCTTTAAAAATGCTTATCAGCATTTCTCTTCCACCATCACTTCTTTGAAAACATGGGAATTAAAGTGAGTAGATCCATTCTATAGATAAAGTGAAGCAAAAGAATAGTTGTGACATTGTTAAGAAAACAGATTGTTAATAATAATGTGGAGGAGGGATGCCTGGGTCGGTTAAGCATCTGCCTTCGGCTCGGGTCTTGATCCCAGAGCGCTGGGATCAAGCCCCGCACTGGGCTCGCAGCCCAGCGGGGAACCTGCTTCTCCCTCTGCCTCTGCCTGCCGCTCCCCCTGCTTATGCACTCTCTGTCAAATAAATAAAATCTTTAAAATAATAATAATGACAACAACAACAACAATAATAATGTGGAAGAAAAAACCCTAAAACTCTTGGAGTCTAACTTCTTGCTCTTGCCCCGCAGTTGCTTATTTGGCCTTTTCAGCTTACCTAAGCTCCTGTGGCACAAATGCTGTGCTGTGAGCCCCATAGGAAAGTGATAGAGCCAAGCTCCTGCAGCAGCTGCTCAGCAGGCAGCTCTCCGCGCCCACACCCGAAAGCCAGGTAGTCCAGCAGGGCGTCCGGAATGGACAGCCTTTGCATAAGATCTTGTGCCTCAGATTCTGAGCATCATCCTTAGTGAATTTGTCCTTCTAGTTGGAGCCCTAAAAAAACAGTCCCGGAAAAAAAAAAAAGAGGGGGGGTAATTAATTGCTTTTTAGTTTAAGAATCTTCTGTTGAAATATTGAACTGTTGTCCAAATTAAGGAGTTTTCCCCCATCATAGAAGTTCAAGCAAACTAACTGTGAGTCTGATGTGGCGGTGGGATCCTCCCGTCCTTCAAAGCACTGCTCCCTGCTAGCCACCGGCCCGTCCAACGCTGCTTCCTGGGTGCAGCTAGGGAATTGCCTGCTTCACACTCTGTAAACCAACACCTTTCAAGGGTCATGACTTCACAGGACCCTTCTCAGTTCTCCTCACTTAGCAATTTCAGGGGTCTCTCCATTCCAGCCGTGCTTTTGCGAGATGGATCACCAAGGTTGCCAAACTAGAAAAACATCTCCGAAGTTAATGACAGCTCATAAAATATTTTTGGAAGCAGTTTGTTTACAGAAATCTACTTGTTAAGAAATGTTAGCACATTATGTATACAACTGTTAATCCGGTTAAACAAACTGATTAATATCCAGGGTTTTCTTGTGATGTGATGATTTTTTTTTTCATTGTCCTCTACCTGCTAAAGATTTTAGCTTTTAAACTGTTGGAATCACATATTCATTATGCTAAAATAAGCAAATTAACTTGAATTCTTCCATTATAATTATATGAGAAACAACATGATCACTTTGTCTTGACACCCATTTAATCATGTCCATTATTATTAATTTTTATTATACTTTTCCAAGAAATCCCAATAAAACTAAACATCAGGAGGTAACATCACATAATACAAAGACATCCTCAAAAAGGAAATTCAAAACCAAATGAAAACCTGAGAGCTTGTAATTATTAGGGGAAAAAAAAAAGCTGTAGTTTGGGATTCTTTCAGAAGAAATTTCACCTATTTGATTTTTAAATATATTCAAAGGCCAGTTAAAATCCCAAAAATCACTGCGACAAATTAAGGAAAAATAATATTTTCAAAGGTGTAAATTCACTTCCAAATGAAATGGAAGTGTTGAGAACTACTTTAGGCCACTTGTAATCAATTTGTGGTGGTAGAGAATATTTACTTCTTGTTCTGCTTAACATGTTTTCCATCAATACACATTAGCTTGATGCAAAATTGAAATGGATGCAGCTCATAACAGGGTGACAATTGCCCCCTCATAAAACCCAGAATAATATCTAAACACACAAATGACTATCTTATAAAAACATCCAATGTTTTTGTACGTTGTGAGTGAATGATAAGCTGTAGTATTAAGCTGGGGTCGGGATGCAATTCTGTTTTTGAGTAGAGGAGACATATTATTTCACTAGGGATATGATTTATCTGCAGAGTAAGTATATCAGTAGAAGAGCAAGCTACTATATGATGGTATATTAATGTCATTAAATTGTCCTTGGCATTTAAGCCAGTATTAGGCAAAATAGCAACTTCTGTGTCCAGGCACAAATCCAGAATGCCCCAGTCCCTAGACCTTCTGTCTATGGCCCACCCAGTTCTCATGCTATCCCAAATACTGGAACTTATCCCTGCAGTGAAATGTACCAGGCTCCTCTTTTACCTCTTCTGATTACAGGGAGTGCTCAGTAGTGCAAAAAAAAACCTCTAGGTGGAGAGTTGAAAATCAACATTTTTATACCAATAATTTGCTATGTGATCTTGGGCCCGTTGCTTATTGTATAGAGGACATAATTGTCACATCTGTTAAATATATGTATTGGGATGATCTCTTCTAGCTAGTAATCTCTATGAATCTAAAAACTACTTTTCTAATATTCCTAGAAGCAATATATTTCATTTCTGAGATAATGTCTCCCACCTTTACTCTTCAGCTCATTAGGGACTGTATTGGAAGACATTTCTAGCCAAGGTCTGGTGGTAAGCTACAAAGAGATCTGGGAGCAGGGAGAATTTTCCTTGCCCTCTTGATTGGTAAATGTCTGTAGCCAACTTGCCTTGTGCCCCAAGTTCTTCCCCTACAATAGTAATGTTGGTCTTGGAGAAACCATTTTTTTTTTAAAGTATGCACACAAAAATGTTTTCCTCTGCTCATGTGTATCTAACATTGCATTTAGTGGTTTATTAAAGTTCATTAAAATTTTTACTCTCAGAGGCAGCTTTGCCTCATTTTACCTTTTCATGTACTTTTGTATTTGTGCTTCTTGATATCCAAACACTCAATGAATTTTTGTAGCACACATTTCTTCCACCTATTAAATCAATAGATTATCCAAGCATATGCATAATTACAAGGAGGTAACCTAATGTTTGCTACTTTTATAAACTACTCTTTACTCATTTTCTGCTTTTTCATTTTTTTTCTTGTTTAATTACTCCAGGATATAGGACCCTTTCTTATGAAATGTTTCACTACTTGGGGTATCTTAAGACTGCTCCCCACACATGCCCACACATGCACACATAGAGACCACAAACCACTAGGACCCACAAAATGAGCTATGAATTTGCAAAAGGTAAAGAAGTCTCAGGGGATTCATGACTCCAGGAATAAAATCTTGGCAAATAATTCACTCTGAGCCAAAGCAAACCTTCAAAGTGCCATTTAAAAAACCCGTAATGGTAAGTAATGAGTGAATAAGGAGTTTGGTGAGTTTTATGAAAAATGCAAATAAGAAATCTCATTATACACATAGCTAAAATTTACACTATGGGGGAATGGATGGTTACTTTCTCATTTTTAGTTCAGCTAAATACCAACGGGGTTTCTGTTCTAAGTATATTACTTGCCGCGATTATGGTTGATTATGCAGTTGGCATACTCTTGACAGCAGATAGTTCAGAGCTGTTGTGGGGTTATCCCAAAAGCTGTCCTCATAGCTCCCTACTGCTCAGGTCACTTTAGGACCAGGAGTTGGAAACTTAGGCCGTCACTCAGCCCACAAAGGAGCCATTGATCACAGTGTAGATGTTGCAGAAATTCCTCTCTTTATATGATAAAGTTTTTCCCGGAAAAAGTTCCATAAACGAAAATTTTTATTTATTGAATTCTGCTTTCCTACTGACATGCATACATGGTCATTACAGTAACTTGTAACAAGTTAACATTCTCTTCCCTAGCCCTCTGTTGTATGGTCAAAGGGTCTGTGTACACTTACCTGCTAAGAAGCTTCGTATTTTGAAGGACCGCTGCAATAATACAAATAATCACCCCCTAGTAAATTGGCAAAACTTTGCATTTTTCTGTTCATAAGTCACATTGGGAGACAGTTCTGTACAAATATACAAACAGTAAATG